TTGGTGGTGGATGATCTGGGTTGAAACTCCGAACGCTTGCTGTACCGGCTTGGGAGTGTCGAACGACTGAACGGCAAAGTTGTAGGACGCCACAGACTGTGAAGCATTGCAGACAGAGAGCAGATATATAAGAAGACGAGCCGTCAATTTTGACACTCTTTGCTCCGGAACTCGCAAGTGTGCGCCCTAAGGGACGGCAAGGGTGTTCTGCACGGTACGAATCCAACGAAGGCCTCATATGTGACCAAGCCGAAATATGAAGCGCTCTAGCCTTCGCTTCTGCTTAACCCCATGCGGTGCCAAGTGCATGAGAACACGGCATCCAGCGTTGTCCCGCGCCCGCGGCTGGTGAGGCTGATCACCGCAACACAGGGGCACGACCAATATCCGAATGGCTGGCTCTGCATGCTGTGGGGTATCGCGTGTTGCTGGCCATGTTGTTCTGCGGCTGTGCGGCTGCCAAATTTCGAGGAAGCCTCTTTGCCAATGGTTCGGAGGACGCAGCAGAGCCCCGTCACGCGCTGTGAACTTGTTCTTCTGATCTCGCCAGACGGATCATCGGCGGGGGAGGGGCCTGTCGGTGGCGTTTTCACCCTGTTCCGCCCTCGTCACCCTGTTCATTACGGCCCTGACCGGTGTATCGGGAAAGGACTGTGAGAGACGGTCTCTTCGACCTGTGAGTCAACCTGCCCGTTCTTGCTCTCACGTATACTTAGAAACCGTGGAGACAATTGAAAGCCGCAGGATTTGTCCAAAATTCCATCCCACCGAAAGTCAACAGCAACGAGTAGTGTCCAAAGGTGAATCGTATCCGACCGCTTTGCGACAATGTAAGTTGATTCGACAAGTCTTATGGCTGTCGCAGGGGACAGGCGGCCGCGCTGTGTGCAGCGAATGGTGCTCTCTGTCGGCAAGGCACCCGCGCGAAGGCCCTGTCCGCCATTAAAACGGGCAACACACCCTGGCGGGCGTTCAGCTTTGCTGGCCGCCCTCAATCCTTCATTTCAGGTAATGCTGGATCTGGTCGCGCCCCAACACTTCCTGCAAATTTCCATCGTTGAATTTTCTTCATCTTTTGCTTCGATTCTTGACTTCAAGAGTGACCTTCTCAGTTGTAGGGTGGAAAAGGGAAGAGGAAAAAAGCAGACTCATCGCCTGCTCGAGCAGTGGAGACCATAGCGCGTAACCCTGTCAGCGTCGCAGAAGCGCAGGTTTAACGATGACCGCGACAGCATCAATTCGAGTCCTCGAACGCCAAGTAAGTTTGAAATCATTTCGTGAATCGTTCTAACCTTGCCACAGGCTTCCTGACACTTGTCATGGGCGTAGACAGACGACCGAGGCGATAAACGGGAAATTTTCCGGATTGACGACCCTGGGTGCGTTTTCAATTCGAACGGCTTAGAGCCATACCGTCTGCCGCAACCTGCAATTGTTTAGAGATGAACGACGAAAAAATAAGGAAGCGGAAGGAACATATACAAACATCAAGAGCAACATACGTCGTCAAAGTCGTCCCGTGTTGTTGAGCCTCAGCCGAGCTTGAGCAGGGCCGGGCCGGCGACGCCTCTCGTTAGCCATGGCGCCACCCGCAAGACCGTTATGTCGTGCAGCGAAGGGAACAAGGGAGTTTGACCAATCTAACCTCGGCTGCTAAGACACAGCTGACAATTATAGATACGCGGGCGGTCGGTTGCATATGTAGATGTGACTTGGAGAGGCATCTACTCCTACTCACTAACGGCCGCGGGGTATGCACGTTCAGGGGGCTACGTGATATGGGGTTTGATTCCTGCAGACCTGGTGGTTTGGCACGAGAACATTTCTGATTACTGTCGATGGGTGTTCGGGCAGAATCGTGGAACGCGTGGAGCCTATCTTAGCCGAGGCATCCAGTATTCAGGCTTTGATTGCTATTCGTAGGTAGGTTTGCGAAATTGCGGACCATCGACGCCTAAAGAAGGATAGGGGTCACCTTCCCTTTTCATCTTCATTCTTGCCCAACGGCGGCTTTTCCCCAGACTTCTTCTAGCAGCCAGATCACTTGAATTGATGATTCCTGTCAGGTCGATCATGAAACTGTTCGTTCGTCGGATTATTCCGGGAGAAATTTTGGAGGGATTTCCCCCTGTGTAGCACAAAGGCGGTGCTGCTACACACCACATCTTCGGCATGACGAGCAGCGAGCTGAGACGCAGGCCGCCTACGAGGTTCAGTTTATCCGGCTTCCCATCTCCTTGGCCAGCTTGAAAGCGCGACTTCGGTCACCATGGTGGAAGTCTTACTCGGACTTTGCTCCTCGCTTGCAAAGCACTCTGTAGCTCAGGGGTGGCTTTCTTCCGACTCGAGCTGATATTCGATCGACCACGCAGCCATGTATCACTGTCTTTCGTAACCTCTATCTGGACTACAAGAGCAATTGCTGAAATACAGCCTTCCTCATCTTGGCCAACGATCGATGCTTCGCCATTGACAGGTTCGATGATGCTCACCCGCTGCTCTCTGACTGAAGACAGTCGATTTGAACTGGTAGGGTAGCAACCGCTGTGGTCGCGGCCCAATGCAGCCATGAGTCGAACCCACATCAAAATCCATGATTCAAAGCTGGTTTCTCACTCTCTCGATTCAACTGGTGAACCTATTTTCGTTTTGTAGCCCCCAAGTATTCGCCATCAGTGGCCGAAGCCTCCACATTCGTCGACCTCAATACAGAAGCCGTCCTATTTGACGGGCCCCCCTCCCGAGACCTTGCTCGAAATGCCAAAAGAGCTATTTCAAGGGCCATCATCGCCATTTTGGCTGCTCCAGTCGCTAATCTATCATTTGAGTTTCTTGACCGTTGGAAGCCATCGAGAAGGCTACGAATAAGCAAGCAGCCCATCACACCATGGCTCACCGCAACAGTCCGCCTTGGAGCAGCAAGCCCACAGGAGGGTAGACAGCTCAGCATCTCGAGGCGCGTACGGTGAGACCTTGCCCATCATATCCTGTTCCCCTACACCACTTCCCCAAGATGGGGTCTAAAACGCTAACGACCAACATCGCCCACTTTTCTTGTTCTTGCGAGGCTCGCGCATCGTGGTGCTCAAATCAAGTTATCTGTCTCGACTTGATCCACCAAACATTGCCCTATATATCTGACTCTATCATCCGTTCCCTTGCTCCAGTTGCTCACGATGGCCGAAGCCCCCTTCTGAGTGCCCCTTTTCCGTGCCTACTCGAGCAATGACGACTCTACCGATGACCAATGTCGAGGCTGGCCGTGTCCACAACGAAACCTCACCACCATCTTCTCCCCCCAGAGGCCACAAAAGCCGGTTGAAACTACCTACTTGGTCCTTCAGTGCATGGATATCGCGACATGCAGACCATCCCTCTCCAGGTCATCTTCTGCCAACAACCACGCGCGTGGGAGCTCAGCTAATGGACACTAAAAGGCGGTTCAAGCAAGAAAGCCTCTGGAGACTATTTCTATCGCGACGAAAGTGAGTTCCATGACATCATTGGCCGGTTGCCTCTCGTTAACAAGCCACTGCTCAAGTTGACAGATACCGTGAGGGCTTGCCTCGCCTCGCAGCCCAACAGGAGCACTACGAAAACTTTGCAATATACCGCAGGTTTGGTTACCTCTCCAAACGATGTCTCAATGAGAATCAAATCAGGCTGGCTGCACTCGAAGGGCATCTTTTCAAGTTGGAACATGATCCAGCGGGAAATGGAGTGCCAGCCTGTGGTGCTCAAGTCGCATCGTCAAGTGGAGGAGGATACAGCCGGTTCCCCCTGACTGTATCTGATACTATTCAGGAGATTGGTTCCTTACTACCCAACTACCGTAAGTTCAACTCCGTATCGCTCTTATAGAAGATGCTGAAGTTGACTGTGGAAAGACCAGATGTTACTCAACGATCAGGCGCTAAAGTCCCTCCACGAGGTTCGGTACCACGAATATTGCAATATAGCTAGAAAGATCAAAGCAGACGGGTACTTGAGCAAGGAGGAAATGGCCTACCTTAACCACCCTTCCGACTTTGTCAATACGGGGACCGATCCATTATGGCTGGCTTTTGAAGCATGGCTCTACAAGCTCCCGAGCTTCCTCCTGGTGGTAAGCGTAATTGCAACGCCCTCACGCCCTTCTCCCCCCTCCGTTCCCAGAGATGGCATGCTGATTATATTTCTGCCATGTAGCCTATACTCGAGGACAGAAGAACGCGAAAAGAGACAAATACCCTTTTCTTGTCTACCGCGAACATGCGCTTTCTGTTCAAAACTTTCTTCGTCTGGTTCTACGCGTTCTTACTGCTGATCCCGGTGATCTTATTCTCGCTTGTCCAAGACATGACCAGAGCAGCTACAGTCGGGCTCCTTGCTTCATTCACGATCCTATTCACGGCATCTATGGCTCTCCATCAGAGCAAGACCGATAACATGCTTCTTGGTGTCTGCGCGTATGCGGCTGTACTCGTTGCATTTCTGGCTAATGTCTGAGCATGATGAATGATGGGTGAAGAATCGCCAAAATCAGCAACATTTATGTGTCATGATGAAACTACGGCGAGGATAGATACGACGCGAGATAGTTTGTGTGTGAATTTAGTAAACATATTAAATATGCTCCTACGCAAAATCATTTCGTAACCGCGCCTGCCTCTATTGTGTTCATTGTCTTCATGCCCACAGAGTGTATTTTGGTACCTCCAATCGAAGCAAAAGTATCAGCGTTACAAAACCAGCTGATATTTGAGGGAGATGCGGTATGCTTCCGGCGGAAGAGACCACTTTACAATGCCATATATGGCCACGCATGTTTGTCTCTTGGTAATGCGCATTCCATTCGAAAGAAGACAGTTGGGCTATACACTGGAACAGGCGGTCTATGTGCGGAATACATCGAAGTCCTGATTTAAACACCTCCCGAAGGACTTGAAGTCATCAAAAAGCCCGCGTTGGCGAAAGTCGAGCAAAACATTATCAAAAATACTGAAAAAATAGAGGCTTGTTGCGAAGACCGGGACTCGAACCCGGGTCCGCGGCATGGGAAGCCGCGATGATAACCCCTACACTATCTTCGCCCGTGTTGTCATGCTTGTGCCTCACAAATTTGGTCTATCAAGGGTGACAGTGAGGGGTTGCGGTATGACGCGGTTGCCGGATGACTAAACTCTAAATGGTAGCAGGATTCGGCTGTTGGATCTTTCGTCTGACCGGGCGTGGACTTGTTCTCTATTCCTGAGATCAAGATTCAAGAAACGACAAGAGAGCCGGTATGATTTGCAAGATTGAAAAAAGGTTAGCTGACAATGGAAAGACTCCATAAAACATCAAGAGGAGGTTTGGTGGTGGTGTTGAAGTGAAGAAAGGGAAATTCAAGAAATTTCTGCTTCTAGGCTGTTTGATCAACTGAGTTGGTAGGTGCGCCACCCCCTGTGCTGGTGCCCTGGGTCCCTGGTCTCAGAGACTTTCAGCGTGCCAACCGCTTCCCTGACCTGCCTTTCTGTAGTGACGTCCTCGGTTCATATTTTCTCGATTCTCTCGAGATATTTGCAACGACTTCCATAATATGACAGTGAGCAGGTTCTGTCTGCGTGCCATGATCTTAGCAGCATATGGGCGCCAGTGTGCAAATCATATTAGACGAAATTGACGCAAAATCATAACAGTCTTTTTATTGGTATCTAGTCGTCATCCTCATCAGCCTTCTTCTTGCCCTTCCTGCTTTTCGCTCCGCCCTTAAAGTGCTTCTTGCCAGAGGACAAGCGCACGTCCTTGGGGTCAACACCATTTTCCAGAGCAATCATAGCACGAGCTTTCCTACCACTCAGGTGCTTTTGGCCCTGCTCGGTGTACTTGTGGCTGAATGGCATCTTAAGGTGGCCAGCACCGCTGCCGCCGGCTCCGAAGAAGCCCTTGTCAATCTGCTTAGATTTCGGGCCAGCAGGGAGCACTGCCAAGTCTGAGGGTGCAATCGAGATGTCATCGCCAACGAGTGACATGGTATCGAGAGACGCTGCCAGTGCCGCACGGCGCTTCTCCGGCAGATGGGCCGCGTCGTAGAGCTCGTTGTTGAACTCTGGGCCGTCGACGGTATTCGGCGGTGGCTCGCAATACAAGAGCTTACCGTTGACGTAATCCTTAAGGATATATCTGGAAGCTCTTGACTCATCAGGCTGACCCAGACCTGATGTTTGGAAACCTCTGGCCTTAGCGTAGGAAGCAAGCAGCTCCTGTGCAGTGGGGATTCCAGTGCCACCCTCCTCAATTGCGCGGGTCTTGATGGTAATTCCGTAAACAGCCTCGAGGAATGGCTTGGGAATTCTTCTGGTGACGAGGCCTGCGGGGCCGGTGAACTCGCGCAGTTGATCGATAGGCAGGACACCGTTGCAGACGAGGTCGGCCTTGGTGCTCGCAAAGTTGGGGAAAACAAGACCGGGGCAATCGCACAGTACAACGTTGTCGCTGAGGTGAATGGTCTGGAAATGCTTTGTCTTTCCTGGTGTTGAGGAGACAGACACCTTCTTGGCGCCGATCAGAGCGTTGATGGTGGAGGACTTTCCGACGTTGGGGTAACCAACAAGACCAATCTGCATTTTGTGGCCGGGATCTAGAATGTGGCAGTTAGCTTCTCTATTGGTCTCGCGGGCACTTGCATGAACATACCGGCATTCTCAGGGGCATGGCTAAGGAAGATATCTTCCAGCTCCTCAACCGTCAAGATCCTTGTGTCCTCATCTTCAAGCTCGACTTGTTCTTGTGTAGTCTCAGCACCGGCCTCAGCACTTGTCTCAGCACCGCCTTCCTCTCCGTCATCACTCTCTGACTCTTCCTCGTCATCTTCAACTTCAGCCTTCTTCGCCGCAGGCTTGGCTTGAGAGCTGCTGCCAACTTCGGGCTCATCCTCCTCCTCCTCCTCCTCGTCGCTTTCCATCGACTCTTGAAGTTCCTTTGCCAAGAATGCAGAGAAGAATCTGTAAGCGATACCGTTCTCCTTCAGGTACTTGGCCCACGTCTTTCGTTGGGTAAGCGTCAACATATCCGCCTTGTTGATGAGAAGAAGGTTCTCCTTCTTCGTGTCGATCTCCTTCACATATTGCTCCAAGTCCTCGGATCTGAACATCAGTGGGTTTCGCGCATCGACAATCTGAACCACCAGATCCGAACGCTCAATAACACGCCACAGCTGCCTCCAAACCTCGAGGTTTCGCTCGAACGGTGTCATCAGCAGATCGTTGTTCTCCTGCAGCTCCGCAAGACCTCTGCGCCAGTTCAAGAAACTGTCTCTCTCTGCTCTGTCCAGCTCTTCAGGTGTAGTGGACGCATCCCACTTCGGTCTTCTCGGTACGGTCAGTCGTCCCTTGTGAGCCTTCTGCTTGGCAATCACGCCCCTCTCCTCGGCTCCAGAAAGCAAATAGGGGTTCTTCTGGTCGGTGTGTATGATCTTGATGTTGTTCATCTTCTCGGCGGTGAAGTCCGTTCCAGCCAACTCTGCTGTCGCAAGGAATTCGTCGAGAGCGCCCTGCTCCGTGACCGATCGCATCTTGACCCATGCTGCCTCCTGTCGCTCGTTCGTGAGGTACTATTACACTGTCAACACTGCCATAAATGCGCGGTGATTTTGGGCTATCAATATACCTCTTCTCCGGTGGCATGGTTCACTCGCGTGATGGATGAGCCCTTCTTTCTGTCTGTGCCACGACCCTTGCCGAAGCGGTCGTTCATAAGGGCATTGCCCAAACCGGACGTCTTCTTCGACTTGGCGAGCACCATTATTGCGGTGTTTCTTGCGTATGAGTCGATAATGAAAGTCCAACGAAAAAATAGGATTTGCTCGAGAGAGCGAGTTGAATATGAGTAATAGTAGAAAGTGGGAGCCCGTCGCAACCGGTCAGAAGAGAATGCAATGCCCCGCTGATTAATGGCGTAGGTCGCGGGGCAAAAAAGTCCCCCGCTGCAAGTAAAAACCCTTTGCGGCCGCTTGGACTCTTATCGATAGAACGATAAGATGCGATAAGCGCAGAAAAAAACCATCCCACCAAGGGACTTTTTTTTTCGAGACCCGACCACTGTGAGAGTGCGCCTGCGATCGAGGGGTACGTCCGTTCGTCCCACACATTCAATCTCTGAGCCCGGAAACCCGACACCACCAGCTTGTTGTTTGCCACGAAGTATCAACATCAGCAGATATGGCGAAGGGAAAGTGGATGTGAGTCTTGATGTGTTCTCGGAAGACATGCGCCTCGGACTGACTTTCTCCTCCCTAGCGACAAGAAGAGTGCGCAGCATTTCACGCTCGTCCACCGTCCCCAAAATGACCCGCTCATCCACGACGAAAATGCGCCGTCCATGGTTCTCAACCCTGTCGCTCAGCGCGGCGGCGACAAGGGCAAACACCTGAGCGATCTTGCATCTGACCTTGGTTCTGATGCCGCTAGCATTCGAGACAACGAGGGCGAGGCCGCAGAGTATGGAATCTACTACGACGACACCGAGTATGACTACATGCAACACATGCGTGACCTCAACCAGGGTGGCGGCGAAGCCGTCTGGGTTGAGGGCTCAGCCACAGCGAACAAGGGCAAGGGAAAGCAACCGCAATCTCTCGAGGATGCTTTGCGCCAGATGGATCTCGAGCACAGGAGCGAGGCTATCCTCGATGAGTCCGTTCTTCCGTCAAAGAACCTCTCGCGCATGAACTACCAATCTCAGCAAAACATACCCGATGCGATCGCCGGATTCCAACCTGACATGGATCCTCGTTTGCGCGAGGTCCTGGAGGCACTGGAGGACGAGGCGTTCGTGGACGATGAGGATGATGACATTTTCCAGCAACTGGCCAAGGACAATGAGGAGATCGACGAATATGAGTTTGAGGAACAATACGATTATGACGACGATGACGGCTGGGAATCAGATGCGACGGCGAAGCCAAACAAGGAGTACAAGGAAGACGGCGTACCGGAGCTGGTTCCTGTTGCTGCAGTCGAGGGAGAGGCGCTTCCAGAGCACCAGAACGAAGACTGGCTTGAAGACTTCAAGAAGTTCAAGAAAGATCAAAAGGAGGGCAAGCCTCAAGCCAAGGCTGCCCCATCCGAGCTGCAGTCCTCCATCTGGACAACGACAACGATGGGCGGCCGTAAGAAGAAGAGAAAGGGTGCCCTCACCAACCCTTCTACCTACTCCATGACCTCATCATCAATGGTCAGGACAGAACAGCTTACCCTGCTGGATGCTAGATTCGACAGGATTGAGGAGGAGTACACAAGTGAGATGGGCGGCGACGACATGGCTTCAGTCTCGGAGATGTCAACGGTGTCCAGTGTCACGGGTCCCACCAGAGGTGACTTTGATAGCATCATGGATGATTTCCTTGGCAGCTACACTAAGCCTGGAAAGAGGACAAACAAGAAGAACAAGGCACAGAGCGGACTCGAGCAGCTGGATGAGATTAGAAGGGGCCTTGGCCCAGCTCGTCTGCGCGGAAAGGCACACGTTAGCGGGCGAGGTTGAAGTCTGAATATCTAAGGCATTCAGCGCCATCTGATGCTGGAAACCGAGATACCCTTAGAATAATCTGCATGAGATGTTTCTGTAATGAGCAAACGACACCAAAAAATAGATTCCTCTTTCGATCACCTCGACTCCTTGTATCTTCTGAAGTTTTCATAAACTGTCTTATTGTCGATTAACTTCCAAACGACTTATACTTGACCTTTAAAGTCGCCTGAACAGTGACTTGGAGCGTTTATTCACCATCGCAAATTCCAAAGTGCCTTCCTGAACGGGAGTGTGTTTAAGCATTAAACACACCCCACCTCGAAGTATTTGTGGGTCCGAATAGACGCCAATTGGCTAAGCGCGCCAAACACGCGGCAAACGCTGGCCAGCTCCATCCCAGTTCTCCACCCTCACGCCAGCTGCTTCGCTGCTTCCATTTTGAAGCCCAGCCGCGACTTCGACATGACGTCGGTCTCCTTTCCTCCAAGCAGACCCGACAGAACTTCATCGCCGTTCGGAGCATCATCATCAGGAGGCTTTGGAGGAAAGTCTGCTGAGCATCATTACGGTTCCGGCCTCG